TTAACCTTTTTACTTGTCAACAATTCTATTTAAATCATAAAATTACAAGTTTAACCTTCTAACTAAATTTAATGAACCAAACTGACATCTTCATCTCTTCTACACGTATAGATTTATTTTTTTTATTTTTTTTATAGATAACCACCACCACAACATAAAAATAAAAAATTAAAAGAAATTTTTTTTTTTTTTTTAATTGGCCAGTACACCACCACCGCAACATAAAAAATAAAAATAGCCATAGCTAACCCAGACCCACCACACCAGGGGAAAAAAAAAAACAGCTATGTACGGGATCGGGAAGAGAGAGAGAGAGTGTCGGCGGCTAGATACTAAAATGAACAAAAAAAAATTAAGGTAGAGAAAGAGGTTTAATGATGAGGATACTTTTGTCAATTAACATAACTGGTATTTTCTAAATGAATTGAATTAAATAATCAGGGACTAATATGACATTTAAAATCACAGGGGTGTCATTGTTAAAAAAGTCGTTGACCCGATTTGAGTGACACTATCCGAAACCTCAAGGATGTCAATGCAATTTACCCTAAAAAAAATATATACATAGTAAAAGCAAACCAATGATTTGATTGAAATCTAACAAGTAACAATGCTGTAAAACTATAACGCTTGGTATGCATAAATTAAATGGAATGGAATGCACATTCCAACCATTCCTTTGTTTGATATGTAATTTAAAGTGAGAATGCCATTCCATTGGAATGAAAAATCCATTATTTGGAGGAATGAATTTTCATTCCACAACTAAACCTATGGAATAAACATTACATTCTTAAGTAATTTTTTTTTAAAAAAAACCAGCTTTCCAAAAAACCCTCATGTTTCAAATCCAAAAACCACCATTACCTTCCACCACAACCAGCTAGGGCTGCAAATGAGCCGAGCCGAGCCAAGCTTTAGGCTGTTCGGGCTCGGCTCGTTTGTTTATGGGATCAGCTCGGGCTCGGGCTCGGCTCGTGATGAGCTCAAAAATTTGAACTCGGGCTCGGGCTCGTCTTGATTTTAAAAGCTCGGGCTCAGCTCGGGCTCGACTCATTTAACAAAAAAATAAATAAATATAAAATTCAAAATTAATTAGTATTCTACAGGCCACAATACCTTTTTCCATTGCTTTATCAATTATCACATAAGCAAAAAGAAAAAGGGCAAAAAAAAAAAAAGGTGCAGTAGTGCAAGCTTTTATGTTTCAAGAACAAATTAAGGTTTAATTTCGAAAAAAGAAAAAAGGACAAAATTGAGCATGAGTGCATTATGCATTTTCTATGAAAATACAACACATCAAAAAGTTATAAATTCCCATGATAATAATATCTATAGAACCACTGAAACATTGTATATATTAAATAGAAAAATAAATCACAAAGGAAAATAAGTTGGAGATAAATTAATTTAGCTACCTGTGGCCATTGAGCATTAGTCTTCATAAATTTAGAGGAAGCAGAAGAAAAGGCTAAACAAAATTGTCTGCAACTGCCTAAAGAATGTTTTGAGGTTGTCCAGATCCATGGAATTAAAGTGAAAATAAAGTTTTGCTAAAAAATTAATTGACGCAGTACCTACTTGATGGCGAGGACAAAGGATGGCCAACGATGATGACGAGGATGGAGGGACAGCGGCACAGACGACGGCGGGAAACGGACGACGTCCATGGCGAAGACAGAGGACCGCGGCCGACGATGACGATGACAGACGATGCATTCAGATCTGAGAGAGAGAGTTATGGCGATTGAGTTGATTAGAGAGAGACAGAGAGGTAGTTGTGTAGATGGAAGGGTTGTCGTCGCCGGTGGAGTTGATTCGTAACTCGTGAGTGAGTGATAGAGAGAGAGAGACTGACGATGTTGTGGAGAAGAGGCAGATCTGAATGGTGGGATGTAGTTTTAGGGTTTTTTGATATCTTACAAAATCAATGGATGAGATGGGTTCTAATTTAATGGGTGAGACGAAATCTTATTTGGGCTATGGATCTATGGTGGATTTTCTTTGGGCTAATTAGTTATAATGCTTGGGTCATATTAATGAAAAATATGAGCTGGTCCAAACTTAAAAATAATATGGACTAAATATTTTAAATGTACAATAAAAACAAATGGGCCTGATATATATAGAATGGGCCTGATATATGTAACGAGCCTGATACAAGCTTTGTTCACGAGCCCTAACGAGCTTTAACGAGCCCATATTCACGAGCCTATGCGAGCCGAGCCCAATGTTGCTCAGGCTCGGCTCGTTTAGTAAACGAGCCTAGAAATTGGGCTCAAGCTCGGCTCGTTTGCTTAATGAACGAGCCCGAGCCGAGCTCGAGCTGTTCATGAACAGCTCGGTTCATTTGCAGCCCTACAACCAGCTATGCCTTACTCACCACCACCATTATCACCGCCTTCTACCACCACCATCACCACCACTACCGTTACCGCCTTTCACCATTGCTACAGCCACCGCCATCGTTTGCCACAACCACCATTGTCGGCTTTCACCACCGCTATCGCCACCACCTTCCACCATAACCACTGCCCATTGCCTTTCACCACCACCACTACCATCGCCTTTTACCACCGACACCACTTTTCACCACCACCACTATTGCCACTTCCTTCCACCATCGTTATCGCCTTCTAACACTTCCACCACCGTCATCGCTTTCCACCACCTTTCACCACCACCACCGCTACCGCCTTCCACCATCGCCGGGGCTTTCACCATTGCCACCGCCACTGCCATCGCCTTCCACCACATCCGCCACCATCGCCTTTCACCACTTTCACTACCGCTACTGCCTTTCACCACCACCACCACCTTCCCCCACCGTTACCACCCTGCACCACCGCCGCCTTCCACCACCATCACCTCTACCTTTCACCGTCACAATCACCACCACCGTCTTCCACCACCACTACCGCCACCTCCTTTCACTACCGCCATTGCCTTCCATCACCACTACCACCACCGACACTGCCACCACCTTTCGCCACCACCGCCACCGCTACCACCTTCCACCACCACTATCGTCACCACCTTCTACTACCGCCACCGCCACTGCCTTCCACTACCACCATAGTCACACCACTGTCTCCTTCCACCATAACCACCACACTACTGCCATTGCCTTCACCAACACCACTGCCACCTTTCACCACCACCGCCGCCTTCTAACACCACCACCTACACTACTATCACTTTCCACCATCCACCACTACCACCATTTATTTTTAAAAAATTATTAGAGAATGTTATTTTGTTAATTTAATTTATTTGTTGATAGGAGGGATATTTTGGAGAATTCAATTAGAAATTTATTTTATTCTAAATTTTACATTGGTCTAACCAAACACTAGAATGATTATTATCATTGCATTCCTACACATTTCATATTTACAACCAAATAATAGAATAAGAGTCATTCTTATTTTCATTCCATTCCCATTCTCATTCTATTTTATTTCTGCACACCAAACGTAATACGCTATTATCTTGATACATACCTAAATCGACCTAAATCTACATACGATCTCTTCTGAAAAATTATTATTATTATTTAAAAAAGAAATAGAAAAAAAAGGACTATGATTAAACATATAGCTGGTGGAGACTTGATCAGTCAATGTTTAGAAAAATCAAAATGCATAAATGTCTGCTAAGGAAAGTTCTATCATTCCAAATAATAAGAAGATTTAATTTGTAAAGGGAGTAGGTGATTTTTTTAATAAAATTAATTTTTTTCCCGGAAAGTAAAGGAGTAGGTGAAATTTTCCTTGCTAAAATGAAAATTGAATTAGCAAACATGAATCAATAAATATTAAAGATAGATCCATTGACAACTTCCTATTTCTTGAACCAACCAAGTAAGCCACTTGGGAATAATGCTGTTGAGGCAGCCACCGGCTAGCTACAGACTGCTGTCCAAATTCACTGATTGATTGATTATTCGATTCATTTATACTTGATATAATAATTCACTCCAATTCCACAATTTTCGGGACTTTTATCAAACAGCTGCAAATGAGACCGTTAATCTCGATTTATTTGTACGTTAATTTAGGTCAAATTTTTACTTGACCCCGAAACTTGGGAGGAACTTTACAAATAAAGTTTAGCAAAAAAACAAAAAAAAAAAAATTATTATTTTTGAAAATGTGATCACTCCCTGACTAATAAATAAAGAAACTCACCAATATATTTATACATATTATATATTTCATTCCAAACATGTCAATATTGACACTTGACGATAAGTAAATGTAACTTGTTAGGAAATTTGTTGTCGAGACTTGATTAATTACTCTTTGTTGTTCAAAATTAATATAAAAATTGTTTAAAATTAATATAAATATTATCAAACGGTTAAATTTTTTATGAACAACTTGAGAATTAATATAAATTTCCACTAAACAAATATATAATCAAAGTACTTTATTCATTTTAAGTAAAGAATAACAGGGAGTGCTCAGATGATCAAACTTTGAGTAACAAATATCATTTGATACAAAACTTTTGCTACTACTCACAACACTGTAACAACAATTTAACAATACGTTTGAAAGTACCAACTTAATGCATAACAATTAATACATTAGAAATAAAATTTAATTTTTGTATAATTCCGAATTATTCGGGGTTTCGCATAGGATAAGAGGTTTTTTTTCGTGTTGTTTCATAAATCAGCCTCCACAATTCGAGGTCACTGAAGCATTATAGTCTTAGTGGAAGAGTCAACCCTAGCGTTCTAACCACACCATCGTGTGTCGATCTTTCAACCTGTCATCTAACCACCCCTTAAAATCTTCAATCTTCCATCTAGAATTACATTTGTCTACTCCGTTGTTGAAGTATCAACACGCGGTATAAAGCAATTGATGTTGACGTGGCACGAATAATCTCCTCACACGTGGACACTTTTTTTTTTTTGAAAACGAATCGTAAGGCGGTGACCTAACATCCTCGTCACAACCGTCCGTTTTCAGAGTCTGAAAAGTAAGAGCATCAAACAAATAGCAGCTCACCGAATATTTTCAAAGAATCGATTTAACCAAATCGACGGAGGTATCAGCTTCAGACGAAAGCGGCCGTTGCACGCTACGTCTCTTTCTCTCTCTATTAATCCTCTTTCTTCCTCCGAAAACAAAAGCCCTATTTACCATAAATATACATATATATATATATATATATTTACATACTGATACAGATATCTTATTATTGAGAGAGAGAGGCTCCCTCGTTGCATCAGTTGCATTTCATGGGTATTGTATTTTTAGAGAGAGAGAGAGAGAGAGTAGAGTAGGTAGAGAGCAACGTCAACAACGTCTACGCTTTAAAGATACTACTAACAAACAGAGTAGTGACGGACTAGAGAGACAATTCTGCGATCTCCGCTGCTATCTGGTTACCTTCATTGTACGAATGCGGCTTCTTTCACGGTATGTAGATCTTTTGATGATCGAATCTTGCTTATCTTGATTATATAAATTGCTGATCTTTAATCTTTTCAATCTGTTTGATTTTCGTTTACGAAATGTTTGAATTTTTATTACTTCTCTCATTGCGATTATGCTGAGTTTTGTCGTTTACACCAAATTTGTTCGAATCAAGTTTAACTTGATTGGTTTAATTGGTATGAGTTTGGACTGAGAATCTTGCAAATCTATGATTTCCGTTCATAGTTTCTTTAAAGATTTATGAGCTTTGTGTTCTTGTTTGATGCAGAAGTACTGCAAAATTGAATTGTACGTGTACGACATACAATGACAGGTACTTTGAGTTATTCTTTACAAGATTTAGATCAAAGTGAGTTCGAAATGTTGTTTCTGTTTTGCAATTAAATCTTTAATTGTTTGATCATTAGGAGAAGTAGGTTTGATTCAAGAAGATGAATGGACGAAAAGATCTGATCTCGAGATCTCTGAGGATGAGAAGAGGATAACTCGGATTAGATCTTTGAAGAAAAAGGCAATGAATGCTTCAACGAGACTTACACATACCCTCAGGAAACGACATAATCGGATTGCTAATTGTCGTTTCGCCTCAATTTCGATTGAAGATGTTCGAGATGAGGAGGAGGAGGAGGCTGTGAATGCGTTTCGTCAGGCCTTGATTGCAATAGATATGCTTCCAGCTCGCCATGATGACTACCATACTATGCTGAGGTTAGTCAATCATTTATTTGACAGCAGTCTTAAAACAAAATATGGACATCTTATGTTAGTCAGTGAGAAAATCAATAATTTTCTTCGGTATTAATGCTTATAGATCTGCCTCATCTTTTGAATTTCAATTCAATATTATGTTATCATAGTTTGCACAAAGTGAGTATGAAAGATAAGGTTGGTTGGTCATTTTTGAAGCAACATTGTAATCTATGGGATGGGATAGGGTAATGCAGATTCTCACAATATGTTTTTCTTCTTTGATAAGTATTCAAAACAGTTATTTGCGTTATGTTTGTATTAATTGTTATTATTCGAAGTTGATGGACTATGAGAATCTGGATGGTTTAAAAAATTTTGTTAGCCTAATTTATACAAGTATTTGCTTCCAAATTTCATATCTTCAGTAAGAATAGAAGTAGGATAAGGTTGCTTGGTCATTTTTCTGAAGCAACATTGTAATGCACAGGCAACAGTGGGGTGACTACTACATTGTTTCTGTATGGTCACAGACCAAGGCACATTACCTCTCCCCTCAGGCCCTTGGCCTCCTCCAGTTCCTAATTTCTCTCGAAGCTTATACATCTTTCTCTAGCATCATTTGGACCATAAACCATGTGAAAATCCATAACAACCATTTTCAATATTCTTAGATATATAAAATAATGCGAACATCTTGATAACCATATTCTTTTTATAGGATATGCTATATGAATGTCAAGTACCGACTTAAATAGTGGTGACTTTCTAACTTGATGATCAATCAGCATGAAGAATATTTAGGGATTGGGAACCAGGCTTGGGAAGAGCATCCAGCAAAAAATATTGAGAATTTGGGACTAACTTGAAAATTTCCAAAATAAGTGAAATGTAAGGCATGTTTGGGATAGGGAACACATGTTGGTTTTTGTTACTATATTCGATAATTCAGAATCCACAAACAATTCTGTACTTGAAAGTGCAGAAATAGAGGACTAGTTTGTGAATTATTAGAAACTGTGAGATAAATCGGGATGCAGGCACCTGATTAGTGATTATGTACAATTGGAGATGTGTAATTGAGGAATTGTGTCAGTCAAATGGTTGATTACAAGTACTTATCAAAAAAATGGTTGATTAGAAGTACAGTTGCATCATGGCGATTATTTGATCTGTCAGCTAGTTTACTTCTTTCTAAAAGGTATAACTGATTTTTATTGACAAACAGTAAGCTTGAGTGCCATGCTTGTAATGCAATGCAATCAGGTTGTCCATTTTTTGTATGAATATTTTTGGGCTCTTCCTTTGAAGAGCACATGTCATTGCAGGCGGTTATCCTACTCTATTAATTCAACTGGTTGGTATGGTCAGCATTTTCTAGTTTCTACTTCTTTTTTTTCTTTTTCCTTTTTAGTTTTTGTTCTTTACTTTCTTTTGCCAACCTTAACTAGTTGGGACAGGGTTTTCTTGAGATAAGTCAATTTCTTTACATTCATTTTTCTTTTCTTTTTCCTTTTGTTAAGGGGAGGAGGGCTGGGGCGGGGGTTGACTTAAGGAGGGAGATGTTATGGATGTTAGTGACTTTCTTTCTGAAAACCAATCAGGGACTTGGGAGTGTTTATTACATTATTTGAAAGAGCGTGCTAGCAGGTAGGTGAAAATGTTCATACCTCTATCTGAAAGTGGATATTCTTATGACACAAGCTCCAGGCAGTTTGGTTGTTGTACATTGATGTACTAATGATAGACAGAAAAGTATGTTTCTATGGTAGATTATGCAACTATAAGAATTGGTTTTGTCATGGTATTAGCTGGGATTAATACCAATTGGCAACAGTCGCATTCAGTGAAACATAATAAATTGTTACATGCTATAAATGTCAGAGACTTGAAAATAAATTCATATCAAAAAAAAAAAAAAAAATTCTAACAAATTGGGAAAAATACATGCACACAAAATTCTAAGCCTCTGCTTGTAGATATAGTTGTAAGAACCACCTTTTTTGTGCTCAGACCTTTGCATCCTTGCCTAAAAATTTGAACCTTCCCACATTCTGTTTAATGCTTCCATTATGATTTAAGTTCACATAGTTATTAGTTTCTATCATTTGTTTGGATGAACTTAAATAATGAGTAGACATCTTTACCCTTCTCCATCTTTAGGGTGGGCTTTGCAGGATAGAGAAGTTACCTATTCTGGTCCATTAGAGAACTGGAGAGCATTTCAAAGGATACGTGGCAAATATGACCCTGAGTCAAGTTCATTTTTGGATGATTGGAGAACCTTGCTTGATTCAAATCTTATCAAAAACTAGAATTTTCAAGAAATCTACAAAAAAAAGGTTATAAAGAATATTTATGTATTCTTTATTCATTCCTTCCAGCAAGTTCTTGTAGGTTAATGATGCTAATGGTAATTATTGATCTGCAAAGATTTGAAAAGTTTGTCACTCTATGACATCTATGTGTTTGTTTTCAAGTATTTGTCTACGGTGTGCTCTCACAATTTTTATTCTTGCTTTTGGCCTATATGAGCAAAGAGGCACTGGCAGTTTGGCCTCTTTCCATGTGGAAAATTCAGCATCTTGGACCTAGGATATGTTGCAAATGGAGTGGTTTCTTTTTAGTTTATGTTTGACTTTAAAATTATACAAATTTGGCAAAATCATCATTCAACTTCTATTTGTAATAAGATACTGTACAACTGGCCAATTTAGTAAGTTGAAATCAATTGGATTGCCTAGATCGATGATTTCCAAACCCCTATAAGTCTATTGTGATAATTAAGTGCTATTTTATTTTTTCCATTTTACACGAGATTATGCATACGTGGAATGAAAAAAGTTCCCGCAACTCTCCTATGTCCTCTTGAATACCTCACTCTTGTGGTGATAGTTCTTGGTGGATATTGCAGGATTTCTTCTCTCCTCTTATAACACCCCACTTCTATTCTTTTCATTTCTTTAGATACTTCAACAGGGAGGATTTTTAAATTTTGTTATCCTGTTGTCTTCTCCCCCATACCAGACGTGGTGTAAATCTCTTCCTACAATTTATATATCTAGTCTTCCAATATGGTCTATGTCATCCAGAGCCTTAGCACGAACAAAGCTAAATGGATTATGTATTTCCTTTAGCATTTTGAGTGATAAAATTATTTTTGCTTTTTTTTTTTTTTTTTTCAATACTTTTCTTTTACATTCTATTCTTTCAAATTATTAGAAGAAATGTGGATGTTCTGCAGATTCTTGAAGGCAAGGAAGTTTGACCTTGACAAAACAGTCCAGATGTGGGCAGAAATGCTCAACTGGAGGAAGGAGTATGGAGTAGACTCTATAATACAGGTATAATGTTTATCGTGATATTATTATGTTCATTTTGAATCGTTGCCATTTTTCAATGGTTCTGATGTATGAAGACTGTAGCAAAGATGAGCTCCAAGGAAGAGCGTGTGAGGCACAGTCTTGGTTGGGATTTAATCATGAGAGTGATTGTTTGTAGGTCTTATCTTTCCTGTGTGCGCTGCATGCAACAATATACTAATTGAAATGTATACAATGTTGGTCCTAAGTTGAAATATGTTTGGCATGCTACCATGGTTAATATAGTGACACTGGGATGTGGGGTGTAGTTCTTCAGTTTCTGTGCTATATTGATGTGTATGACTATATTAGTCTTATTCCAATATTTGTGGGTCTTAGAAGATAGGAGACTGGAGATAGATGTATGACAAGTGATATGATAAAGATAACAGGTAGACTAGACTAGGTTTGAGTTGGCTAGATGTATCTAGAGAGTAAGGGGCTTCAATAACACCAAGTGACAATCTGTTATTTTCCACTTGAATAACGATGTGTTATAATTGACTTGATTTTGATCTTATATTATGAAGGGATATTCATCTTTTCCCCTCACAATTGTCTTTTCTTCTAGAAGTTAGTACTTCCTCTGTCCTAAAGTAAGAATATTGAAATTACTTATAAAAAAAGAAAAGAAAAGAAAAGAAAAGAAAGGAAAGTTTAAATATTGAAATTGTTGATTTGAGAAACTTTTCAAAAACTAAGGATAATTTATGAATGTCTCAGTTTGTGAACATTGCCATTTGAAAAGGGTTACTTATTTTAGGTCAGCCTAAATAGGAAATAGGGACACTTATTTTGGGATGGTGGAAGTATATTTTTATCAATCTTTATCACGTGTCTACTGTTGCTTCACTATATGAAATCTTATGTCATCTGTCTATTTCTATTTCTATTTTAGGTCAGCCTAAATAGGAAATAGGGACACTTATTTTGGGATGGTGGAAGTATATTTTTATCAATCTTTATCACGTGTCTACTGTTGCTTCACTATATGAAATCTTATGTCATCTGTCTATTTCTATTTCTATTTCGAAATATGTCATCACAAATGGGGTATTGAAGGAGAAGTTACTTAAGTATTTTTTTTCTTTCTTTGTACCATTTCTATAAGCTGATGCTTGGTTGACTGAAAGTATCTCCTGTATTTGCTTCCCATTGATTACGTTTTCCATTGATTATGTTTTCCAACATTCTGACAGATGATGTAATACAATGTTTCTATATTTAGGACTTCACTTATGATGAATATGAAGAAGTTCAACGCTATTATCCTCATGCATACCATGGTGTAGACAAAGATGGACGGCCAGTTTATATTGAAAGACTTGGCAAAGTTGAACCTAGTAAGCTTATGAGTGTAACCACAGTGGACAGGTTCTTAAAATACCATGTGCAGGGGTTTGAGAAGACTTTTGCTGTAAAGCTTTCTGCGTGTTCAATTAAAGCCAAGAGGCATATAGATTCTACAACAACGATATTGGATGTGCAAGGGGTGGTTAGTTCTGAGTTGGCCAAAATATTCATTAGATTATGCATAACATCGCCAATTGTACAATTTCCATTTTCTCATTGTTTTCTTGGTTCTGCAGAACTGGTTGAGTTTTGGCAAGGTTGCACATGATCTAGTTTTGCGCATGCAGAAGATAGATGGTGACAACTATCCTGAGGTACCTCGGTTATTATAGGAATCTAAAGTAGAAAATAATTGAATATTTTTGTCATTTAAGTTAACTAATCTTTTCTGATACCAGTTGATTCTCTGCAGACATTACATCAGATGTTCATTGTAAATGCTGGTTATGGATTCAAGTTTGCATGGAACTCTGTAAAAGGCTGGCTTGATCCAAGGACGACGTCAAAGATACATGTAATAGGACATTTGATACTTTTACATTTTTAAAATTTTCGGGACAGTTGTGAATGATTATTTACCTATTCCACAGGTTCTTGGCAACAAATTCCGGAACAAGTTGTTGGAAGCTATAGATTCAAGGTTGGATTTCATTTTCCATGCTTACAGCCAGAGGTCTTTTGGGGTCTCTTGTTTCTATTCTTATCTTTGTTCCTTTCTTTTGAACAGCCAGCTGCCAGATTTTCTTGGTGGAACCTGCTCCTGCCCAAACGAAGGTGGGTGTCTTCGATCTAACAAGGGGCCCTGGAATGATTCAGAATTGATGAAAGTATGGTCCTTGTCCTTTTGGTAGCACTATTTAGTTATAAATATTGATTAATAAGCATTATAAACTTCAATCTTTTGCGATTATTTCTTCCCAAATTTTAATTATAAATATTTATATCATCACTCATCTGACTCTTATTCGTAGCTGGTGCGTATTGGTGAAGCAATGCCTTCGAGGATAATTACTAGTTTTTCTGATGGTGATGATTTAGAAGTTAAACCATTTGCTTCGCAGGTAACATGTCGATATATTAACTTCCCATGCTGACTTAGGGTAACCTGGCTTACAGCCATCTTATCTTGTTTTAACTAAAATTATGCTTCTTTACAGGTTCCCAGCACCAAAATAGTTTCTGCTAAGCCAGGATTGGATGTAGGATTGTGTACTTTTGGTGCAGGGCAACCAGTAGTGCCTCGAGTCGGAGTATGTGTTGTCGAATTCAGTCCTTTAGACCTATTTAATCTGAATTTATTTTATGAATTAGTATCTATTTTATCAATCGTACACTCATTTAATTGGCAAGTGTCAGAGTATGACCAAGAATCACTATTTCATAAATTAAAGATTCCACTTAAAAAATACGACTAAATTTGGTTGGTGTAAATCAGTATGGAATCATTAAATAATAAGATCTCTTTCAAATGAATATGTTTTCCACACCTGTAAGGGTCTGACTAAAGCCAATGAAAATTTTCAATACCTAGTTAAAATGACCTAGCACACCATCTCGATGTTAGGTAGCAATTTCATAATAATATACAAGGCACTCACTGATCAAAATCAAAAGTAAACCCCCAATACTTCATGTCCCTTCTTCTGATTCATTTAAAAAAAAAAAAAAAAAAAATCATTTCCTGTTTGAATGACTATTGAGCTGAAGGAAAAAGTGGTGCGAATCCTTCACCTTAAGCTGCGAATGCTATAAATATTTTTTAACATTATTGTGTGTGGCGTATCACTCATTGCAGGTGATATCATGTTTTGTTTTGTTAAATACATACATGTATGTGTGTGTGTATTAGGAGTGTAAGATCACTGCTGAAGTGCTGAGATATATTACCATCTCAATGAGTGGTTGGCTTTTGGGCAGTGCCCTTCCTTTCCTTTCTTTTCTTTTTTTCCTAAGCATGAGGCATCTGTTGAAAGGGGGTAATTCGCATAAATCGTGATAATTGAATGTGCTGTCTGTTAAAAATAAAGTTTAGGGGGTCATATGCAATTAAAGGCACAGTTCAGGTTTTTCTTGCACTTTACCCTATATTTTATTTCTTTATTTATGAAAAAAGTTATATTTACTAGTTTGCACATCTTTTGCCGCATTTTCTTCTCTCTAGACACAAAGGAAAGGGAACAGCAAGTATATACTAACCGATTTTTCCATTTTGTGCATAAGTAAGAATATGCTGTGAGTTCATCTGGTATCTTTTATTTATTTATTTATTTTTGGTGATAATTAGGTTATTAGATTATAGATCCTAAGGACATAGGGTCCTGGCAGGAACCGGGACCACTGTTCAATGATATTATATTGTTAAATAAGTGAAAAGATAGTTCATTGCAATGGTTTGTGATATTGGGGACTTAAAAATTGTTAAATTTTCATTAGAGCATAATCAACTGATGCATAATTGGATGTACTACTGTTTGCCTAATTCTGTTTTGGGAACTTGCAAAATTACACGGGATTATACAGTTCAATTCCATTTGAACGCACAAATTCAGCGTGTTAAATGGAGTTACAATAAAGATCCAAGGTACCACGCTACCTAAATGGTAGCGGCGCATAGATACCTAAATGGTAGTGGCGCATAGAAATGAGGTCAATTTCTTGACATTGGAAAGTTATTTCATTTAACTGTCTATTAAGAATTATATAGGTTTGTCCTACTTCTTTCAAATGCCATGACAAACAAAAGGTTGTTATTGCATTTTTAGTGGTTTCTGGTTGTGCTTTTAATATATTGCGATATCTTTTTATGTTATATCACCACATTCCTAGAAAATGCCATGAAAAACAAAAGGTTGTTATTGCATTTTTAGTGGTTTTTGGATTGTGCTTTTAATATATTGCGATATCTTTTCATGTTATATCACCACATTCCTAGAATTTGAAGCAGAACATCTTTTTCTATTTGAATTGATTTGTTTTTCAGTTTAAAGACAGGTGATGAGATATGTGTTTTACATCTGTGTATCTTGGCTCCACGACTCTTCATATTTCATGCACACTAATTTGAGACATATTATTTATCTATATTTGCTTTGTGCGTTCATTGTTGTAGGAAAGGATGGATCCTGCTTTTATCTACAGCCTAGTTGAACCAGTTGGTTGTGGGGCCTGTGTTGAAGATGCTTATTCAACAGGTAATTATCATTCATCCTGTTGTCAACAAATGGAACTTTTTTTGGTTGCGTTAATGTTATTGTTTTAAAGTAGATGATTTACTTCATTGTTAAAAATGTGCCGTAATGGTAGGATGTCCATGCAGATTAACTTGGGATGGTCACAGAATGATTGTATTTTTTGTTACCCAAAGTTAGGACTGGCCCCCTACTCTATTATTGATAAATAAGGGTCGTGCTTTTCAAAAAAAAAAAAAAAAAAAAAAAAGGGGTCCATACATATTAATGCTAAAAATGTTATATCTAGATATGATTTCATATTTAGATATGATTTCATATTTCTAGATATGCTAAAATTGGGGACTTGAGGAATCAGTTTCAATATATATGCATGTAACTCATGAGTGTTTGGTAGGAGCTATATGCTTATAAGACAGTTCAAGTTTGAGATGCATCTATAGTAAATTCCTCAAATGATTAGTTGGTTTACCTTATAAATTGAGTATAAAGGACAAACTCAGCTGGCCCTTTTTTCATATATCTCCTAATATCCCATTTGAAACTGTTAATTTCATTGAACTATATGTCAAAAAAATATTTTACTTGCAATTTAAACTCCTTAATTATTGTTACATTTTTTTTTTTTTTTTTTTTTTTCTTGCTTGTTATCCCAACATAATATTTTGTCATGGATTGCCCTTTTATCTAGAGCCCTTTGAAGTTTGAACAGGTCCCATTTGCACTGGGAGTCCAGGTCTAAAATATTTTAAATCTTGATAAGCTATTTTTTCCTGGGTCATTAAAGATTTAAGGATTATGTAGGGCCTGTTTGGTTCAGTTTTCTGAAAACTTTTTGAGAACTCTTTTCATAGAACTATAAAAGATTGTTATCAGAAAATAGGTCTTTTTTTAAAATCAGTTTTGAGAAAACTGCAACCAAACCAGTTTCTGTACAGCTTTCTGATTTTCAGTTCTCTGCTCTCAGAAAGCTGAACCAAAGAGACCCGCAGTTTTTATGCTGTGAAAATTTCTCCCTAACAATTGTTAGTGTGTGAGGAACTTCTGTTGACATCAATATGAAAATTTTCAAATATGTCTCTTTTAATCTGCTTGGAAATTTCTAAGAAAGTTTACTTGTTATTTGATCCTTGCAACAGATGATATAGCCAGTAATCTTACGGAAAGGCGGCCGCCGAAGAAATTCATTACAACTTTATTGATGGACTCCATATTCAAATTATTATTATGTATACATCTTTTAGTCCCAGGTCTGTGGAGAATTTTGGTTGGGAATAGTGCAGACAAGCAGTTTGAGAAGCAGAGCAAACCTGACTTGACAAATTCAAGTTCTCAAGAACAATGTATTTCACAGACTAAAGAAGAGGACTTACTTTATCCATGTCGGCAGAGGTTGCAACATTTAGAAGCATTGGTAACTGAGCTGTCCAACAAGCCTACACGAATTCCTCCAGAGAAAGATGACATGCTTCTCGAGTCTTTGAATCGTATAAAATCCATAGAGTATGACTTGCAAAAGACTAAAAAAGTAAGATGCTTTTCTTATTTGTATGTAGACCTGTGTTGTTCTGAAAATTATAGTGCTCAGAGGCCTTTTATTCTCATCTTGATTACTTACCATTGGTCGGCGGAACTAAACTCTTTTTCTCTTCTTTCCTTTTTTGGTTTCGGTAGGCACTATTTGCTACTGCATCACAACAAGTGGAGCTTGCCAAGTCACTGGAAACTTTAGGGGAGAACAGCGTAAATGTAAGTTCCCATTGTTCTTAGAAAGGAAAAAAAAGAGTTTATTTCTTCAGGTTCATAAAATGCTAGAATCAGGCTATGTAATAGTAGGTAGTGGTAATCATAAAAAATAAAAATAAAAAAGATGACATGCAAAGCAAAACCTTTTGGTGTGATGAGAAAAATAAAAGAACAATTAATTAATTAAGTTCCAAGAACATATTTGTACATTCTTTTTATTTCTCGATCATGTGCTCGATTTGTTGCATTCAATACCCCCATAATTTTTTTTTTTTTTTTTTTTTTTTTGTAAAAACCAATAGCAAAATGGTGGATAAATTGTTTTACACTAGTTTGTAGCATATATATTGTGAACCCCGAGTTTGTTAAGAAATTATACCAAACACAGGTTAAACTGAAAAGAACAACATATAAGATATTCAGGTCTGTGGATGATTGTGGATATCTGGGGTTTACATTGTAGCCACAAATCCAAAGTAAAGAGAAAACCATAAATCGGTTGATTGCATTACGAAGCTATGCCTAGGGGAGTGATTTTTTTTTTTTTTTTTTTTTTTTTTTTTTTTTTTTTTTTTTTTTTTGTGTGTGAAAGGTATGCCCAGTGGAGTTGAGTATATTGGTTTAATTCATTTAGTGGAGAGAATCATAAATCAGTTGCTTTTGCCTCTTTTTATGAGAAGAAAAAATATTTGATTGTTATTTTTTTTTTTTCCGTTGAAAGATCCAAACCATGATATCCAACTTCCATGGAGTTGTAAAAGTTTAATTACACTTGGACCATTTTCAACATTTTGGATATAATAACAGGGACCACTTTTTTGATAGATTGACAAATTTCAAGGTTGACTCATCTTATTTCACTAGTGTGAGGGATTGATTTCATATTTGAGAGCCTAATTACGGGTTATTCTGATTTTACTTTGCCAATAATAGGGAACTAACTCCTGTTGGAAGAGAAGTTGCAACTCCAGTTCCCATGGAAGATGACCACCAAATTTTCAGCGACGAAATGGGCAGAAATTTTCATTTGAGCATCTCTTAAATACACACAATGCCTGGCCTCTTAATCTTCATCCCAAATTTTTACACACACAATTTTGCCGAAGTTAGTGAAGACAGATTGGCACTTTAGGTAACGTATTATTACCTTTTCTTTTTCCCATATTATTGTCTCTCTCGCCCCCCTTTATATCAAAATGTATATAATTTTTTTTAGGTTCTCGGCATGCCGGTTGAAGGTGTTTGCCATGAGAGCTAGAACTCTGGATTCTTCTCTCTGAAAGATGTTAGCAGTGAGTGTGATTTGCTACTCAAAAAATTCCTATTGTGTGGAAATATGATACTTGACCTGTGTAATATACAACCCTGTCGATCGATCCTGAGTGTATTCCCCCATCATTCAATGATTCAAATCAGATTGTTAGGCCAGTGTAAATAAAATATCTGAGAATGCTTTGATTATTTCTATGTATTATTTCCTCCGAATACTATCGACAGGTAACATTTACCTTACCGGGAAAAAAAAAAACTACGAAGAAAAATGAATACCTGAAAATTTATCCAAGTATTCTTCCTTTTTTAATTGTAGCACTTGGTAACATGGTGTTTGTTCCAGATTTCCTTTACAACTCGAGGACGGATTCCCCTGCCTTTAGTATTGATATTATATTTATTGTTTGTTATCAATTTCATGTTCTTAGTAGGTTACTACTACTAATAGAAAAATGGAGATTTACTTCATTTTTCTAGTAGGCTTTTTATGCTTTGGGTAATGGATTTGTGTGGCCAACAGCTAGCAAATGCTTGTGATTCAACGATAATTACACTCCTACAGAGAACTGAAAACAAGACCAAAGACTTTACCCCCCCCCCCCCCCCCCCCCCCAAAAAAAAAAAAAAAAAAAAATTTGTTGAAATAATACCAATGTTGAAATGATAAGAAGTGACAGAAATATTACGAGTATACTTCTCTTCCCTTTCATTTTCGCTTTTCGGAAGTTCAAATTGTTGGATTTGTTCTATAATAGCTCTCAATACTTGGACCTGAATACTCATGATTTACTGTTCATGGTAAGGGATTTTCTTCCTCAATGCCCAGCCAATATTAATAGATATCACATGATTAGGGGACTTCCTGAAATACGACTCTTCTCAAACCAAAGACAGAGCGACAGTTTTTCGTCTCTGTCTCAGCCATCTGGAACAAGTTAATTTTGACCTTGAATAAAAAAAATATAAATTAAAAATAAATAAATTGAACAGGAGTTCAATTGTGACCATTGAAAAGCTAATGGAGCAGCTCATGCTTTGGCAATGTCGGAGAAGGGTTGCTAAGTATTTTGAAGATTTGTTGCCTGGTGGGGGTTAGTAGTGTTGTCTCAAAGACTCTCAGCCTGTGGTAATATAAGTTATCTTTGAGTTTGAATAAATCATTTCTTGTCATTCAACAAAAAAATAACTATAAATCCAAGTTGCAGGGATTTTATTACTACGATCACTTTTGTTTGTGTTCCCTCACTCAATCTGAATCATCCTCTAAAACAAACACATAATTGGTAGTTTTTCTCTGATTTAATTTTGGGTCACTCACTCTACTACTAGAAAAACTAAAAATAAAAAATAAAAATAAAAACTCCGGATCAATATTACGAGTACAATTCTTGTACTTGAGATTTTAGATCAATCAAAGCCCAGTAACAAAAACCCAACCCAAAATAGTATTACATGTTGTGGCCATTTAGATTTTCTGGTCTGGGCGCAACAACTCCCCCACACCTACTAAGCGCACTTTAGAACTAACCACCCTTTTTCTCCACCCGTTCCTTTCCCACTCAAACCACCACCGCCATCACCACCACCACCGCCATCACCACCACAAAAGCCAACCCTAACCCTAATTACCAAAGACAACAATGGCCACACCCTCCTCACCCCCACCTCAAGATCCAGATCAAAACCACCATGACATCCCCTCCTCCACACCCACATCCACATCCATAATACCTTTAAATCAAGGCGTCCCCAAGAAAAGCCCACCCCTCCCTTGGTCCCACCAAGAGACCATCAACCTCATCCAAGCCTACCAAGATAAATGGTACTCTCTCAAGAAAGGCCAGCTCAAGGCCTTCCAATGGGAAGAAGTCGCCGTCACGGTTGCCGCTCGCTGCGGCTACGACGAACCCTCCAAGACCGCCACCCAATGCCGCCACAAGATCGAGAAACTCCGCAAACGCTACCGCGCCGAGAGGCAAAAACCTTACCCTAATGCCTGGCAGTACTTCGAAGTCATGGACCGCATGGAACGCGGCCCTCTCCCCATCTCCGCTCGACCCATGGCGGTAATCCAGTATCAGAATAATTCGAATTCAAGCAACGAAGAAGACGACAATGACGACGATTATGGCGATGATGTTAATTACTATGAAGATAGCAAGAAAAATAAGTCCAAGAGTATCAATCACATTGTTAGAGGGCATGTTAATGCAAATAAATCGACGATGGATCGGAAATTTGGCGGTGGTGTTGATAGGGTTTTGCGAGAGACTATGTTTGGGAAGAGAAAGGAGTCTCTTTTAGAGAGTGATGAGGAGGAAGAGGAAGAGGAAGAGGAAGAAGAAGAGGAGGAGGAGGAAGAGGGAGGGAGGGAGGTGGTGGCCGGATTGGCGGCGGAGATAAAGGCCTTCGCGGAAAGGTTTGTGAGGATGGAGAACAAGAAAATGGAAATGATGAGGGAAACTGAGAGATGCAGAATGGAGATGGAGAATAAGAGGATGGAGATGATACTCGATTCACAGCGGAAGATTGTGGACACTATCGGTAGGGCTTTTGGCTCTCATAAGAAGTTGAAGATGGCTCAAGAACTTTGAAGGTTCACGTCTCACTAATTTTTTTTTTTTTTTTTAATTTGTGGCAATTAATATATTTATCCAATAATTCTGTCATCTATCATGACATGTTTTTTTTCAGTATTAGTTATTATTTTATTTGGTATATATGTTTGTATAGTCAGGACTAGAAGTAATTTCATTTTGAATTTTGTGGTTGCTGCAAGAATGCAATGAGTTCTTTTTTTGGAATTTTGCTCTTTCATCAATAAATTGTAAAGCTATAGGATCACTTGTAGAAAGTATGAGAATACATAAATATATGCCTCTTGTTTTCTTTGCATGCTTATTATCTATGTGCTTTTTATACAAGTTCATATTAGTTTTGGCTGGCATAAAAGGAGTTGATTGACTGAACACAACCCTCGATTGTTTTCAAACAAAATCCAATGTTGGAGGATGGGGTGGGATTTTTACTTTATTTTATTTTTTCCTATCCTTTCCTTTCCTCGTCTTTGGTTGGACCCAATAAAATTGTCATGGCCATACTTGTTTTTTAATTTACACATTCCTTCGTAAACGGAGTTAATGAATGAACAGTTTGAGACTTTAGATGTTGTTGTGGACTTTGCTCATTAATTAGCTAGAGTAGTGCTCTTAGTGGTTACCTTTCAGTCAACAGAAGTACTTTTGAGTTCAATTCAATATCGATGGTCATGTCTACACCAGTTCCATGTTATGGAACTTAAATCTTGTTGGAGGTTCATGGATACATAACGCGTGCCATGTTTAGAGAGGAGCACTTGCCTTATGGGGCTGATCTACATGTCAACTTGAGATTGGAGTACATCTTTGAAGACTGTTGCATACATGGAGACCTAACACGTGCCATGTTTTGAGAGGAGGAAGTGCGTTATGGAGCTGATCCACTTATCAACTGGAGATTGGAGATCATTTTTTGAGATCGTCACATTCCATGCTTCAAGTTTCGTGCAAGAGGCAAAAAAATTAAAATTTGCTCATAGCGGGAGCACCTTTGGAACGTCTGTATCGTATGCCTATATGTATATATATTATACTTTTGACATGAGTTGGGTAATATAAAGTTCTCAAAAAACATATCAAAAAATATGTTACATTCTCAAAGTATATAAAAGATGATATTCTATTTTTTATTTGGAAATGAATGTAAGTGCAGAAATAAAGTTACATGCATTTAAGTTTTAAACAATTTACGTTAAATATAAGTTAAAACGCATAGAAAACATGACACAGATGGTTTGCATTTTTAGTGGAAGTCGTGCTTGTCTCTTGAAGCAGTGTTTTAGGTTTGAAATTCCTTTCCTGAACATTTGAGCTGAAGTGAATATTTCATTGTAAATTTGAAAAGTCAAATGTTAGGGTAAAGAGTGCTTATTTTCTCGCCCTGTCGGTTCTCCAACCTCCACTTTATATTTCCCAGAGTGCGGAGTGTAGTTATTCTCATTTATTGAAACATGGAAAGACATATGGAAGATTCATTCCCCGAGAAAAGTTCAATTTTTCCTATGGCAAAGTTTACATGAGAATATCGCAGCTAATGTGAATTTGAAGAGGAGGAATGTGAAGGAACAAGTTTTTTGTAAAGGATGTGGGTTAGCGGTTGAACCTGTTGATCACTTGTTGTGTACTTGTTCTTATTCTCAAATGGTGTGGAAGCTATGTCCTCTCAGATTGAATTTCTCGGAGTCTAATGCTATGAGTTGGCCTCCTCGGTGGATTCAACTTGTTGAACTTTGGAAAGAAAAAAATTGTTATGCGGATTGCGCAGGGCTGGCTTCAATTATTTGTTTGCGTATATGGAAGAACCTCAATGATGTGGAATTCAATTCAAAGAGATTGCCTCCCCACATTCTTGTGGACAAAGCTGTCCAAGATTATTTTGAATTTTCTGAAGTCCGGCATCAACAAAATTTCCTAAAGATGGCTCCTCTCTCGAATCCGATTCCTCCTTCTCGCTGGCAGCCTCCGGCAGAGGGCTTTGTAAAATTAAATTTTGATGCGTCTTCCCGTCTGACTGATGGAGCGTGCAAAGGAGCCTTGATCCTTAGAGATCATGAAGGCAAGCTTCTGAGAATTGCTTGTGTGTCTTTTATGGGTGTTTCATCAGCTTTGGTGGCCAAGGATTTGGTGCTTCGATCGGCGATTGTGGCTTGTCGCAATTGGAACCTTTCTCATGTGCTGATTGAGGGAGACTGTCAGCCTGTTTTGAGGTTTCGCAAATCTGAAGCAGCTCTGGTCACAATCCTTGAAGACATTGATTTCTTCATCAACCAGAGGCCTTCGATCCAGTTACAGTGTTCATGTAACAAGGCAGCTCACGAGGCGAGCAAAGTTGCTCCGTTTTCTGAAGGTTTGGTTAGTGTGTGGGTCTATTTCTTTGAATGTTAGGAAAGCTCTCTTTTCTGATGCTTGTTTTGGGGCTTAGTCCCCTGTATCTGTGTTTGGTGAAAGAAAAAAAAGAAATGTTACTGTGTGATCTGGTGTTACACAATGCGCTATTGCAAATAAATGTTATTTGCAATAGCTGATTTGTGGCTCCCTGCAAAATTCATGGCATACAAGTATGTAGAACCCCCCTACAATGCTAGCGAATTTGTTGATTAATTCAACAGCACTTGAATATTTTTTGGAGATCATATTATTTTGTCACCTAGTAAGTCTGGTCTGTGTCTAGTTTTTCTTAGTTGCCTTCAATTTTTTGAGATGCCTATTTTAATTAGTAGTAGTCATTTATATTGACAGCATGGGGAAGCAAAGCTTTGGCTCAATTTATTCTGTGACTTCTAATTTTTTGGCCATGGAGTCATTCTTCTTGTTGCCAATTGGGAACATCTACTGATAGATTTTCTAAAATGAGGTGGCATTTTATGTGCGCGTGCAGGCAAAGTTGAGTTTGGTTGCAAGGTAGAGTTTCTTTTGGCTCACCACTTTGTTTCTTTTGCTTACGTCTCAATTTTATTAGTGTTTGTATGGAGAGAGTTTGACACAGAAAATTGGTGTATGAGGAGGACTTGCTTAATATTTTAGGGGTGATGAACACAAGGAATGTTCAGATATGATGTTTGCACCGATGGTAAATTAAAACAGATGGCATACCTGATGATTTGCTCATTGATAACAATGTTAATTAAATAGTTCATATATTATAGGTCTAGGTCCGGTTATGGATTGTTCTTGTTTCCTTTAATAAATTGTCTAATTTTATCATTTTTTTTAAAAAATATTTAATGGTATTGAAAGATAATGTAAGTTTCTTAAAATAAAGAAAAGAAAAGTTAATTAACTAATCCTAAGACTACAATTAAAAGTGAGTATATAATTTCTTGCTCTTGAACACTACTATTAGAAGTTTTCTTTTCTTTTCTACGTATTCTTTGTAGTATATATCTATAAAACAACCAAGTTCCGGAAAAAATAATAATAATAATAATCAAATCGTCGACACATGTTTTGATTGCGAGAATGAAGGAAACAAAACTGCATTTATTTTTTCTTTTCTTTTTCAAATCCCTTTGGTGGATTGCCTGGTGCAAATCGATTGTATACTTAATGATGGGAAGTTCTAATCTTCAACCCTTCCATGATCCAAGATTATAGATTTCTGACATAATGGTCAAATGGAATTCAACCTAAAATTTGCATCCTGCAGCCTTTGTAGAGCATGATGTGCTAGCACATAGATTCATTTTTCACGTACTCGTGAGATCCTTCCTTTGTGATCACTGTAATCGAACTTAATAGTTGCAGCCTTAACAAACATCATCTGTATGCAGAAAAACCTCTCTGTATCACCAACCTTTTAATAACCTCTGGCCTTTCAATAGCAAGCATAATCCCAACCCAACATGGAGAATCAATGCTTGTTGCATAATGAAAAGCTAAAATTGGCTGACTCAGTTGCAAAATGGTAAGTGCTCACAGCAGTGATGGATGATGATCATTCTACATTCATCTGTTGTGTACACTAAAAAACACTAATATTCACAACAATTCACAAAGGCATTGGCCGTGACAATGATTGCTACCCCCTTAATCCAAAAGGGTATTGACACATGAGCTAATCTACAGGGGCAGAAAAAAATATGGCCCCTCACTGAACCATTACAAAACGAAATAACAAAAAAGGAGAGACGACGAGATCCCTGTACACGTACCTCTATATCTGTCTATCTTCCTGGGACTCTAGGGCTATGGTAATGTACATAAACATCCAAAAAAAAAAATTAATCCTGCCAGTATCCATTCAGTTAACACTAACAGAATCCATAGATAACAATCACCACCTCTTTTCATCTTGTGATGAGCTTCATCTGCACAAATCATCATCCAGCAATTAGTGTCTTATTCAATTGAACATGTAATAATAACCAGAGGCACCACATACCAATCAAAAACCCAGACATAGGAAATATATAGCAAGGACAGGGTATTCATCTTTAACATATAAACATAAAAGAGATTCAGGTTTGTTCATCACATAAGGAGACCAGGCATCCAATAAAACAATTAGAGGGGCAAGAGAAAATAGAAACACATGCGATTTTCAGGAAAATATTTACAGGGACCTCCATAATTATCATTTTTGGCAAAAATGATAATAATATGATCCTTGAAAATCATTAGCACACTATCTCAATGAAAAGGTAAGCACATGACCTGTAACCATCAAAATGTATCAAGTGTGTCAGTGTATGCAATGTGAATCACATCCGTGCATGTCAGACTACAGCTGGCTGCAAATATCTGAAATGAAGAAGAACTTAACATACCTATACACTGCTGTTAAAATGACATGCCAACTTAAATCAGGCAGTATCAACCGTTCCAGGAGCTTTAAAATGCTTCTTTCCAGTTTAGAGTTAGTGAGCCTCATATATAAACTTTCTTTCCCTGCTTGCAGATGCTGCTTCTGCTGCTGAGATCTGTTGTGGTGATTGTTGCTGCAGCTGCTGTGGAGTTGGGGGCGGACGTGTAGGAGGCTGTTGTAGCTGTGACTGCTGCTGTTGTTGTTGCCGCTGAGAACAAACATTATGCCCAAGAGGGGCCAAGCTGCCTGATGACTGCCTCTGGCCTCGCCTTTGGCCGACTATAGGCATAGGCTTGCTCCGGTGTTTTGCATTGCGGAA